AAAAAAAACTTTAAATTTGCTGTTATTTTCTGACTAGCAGTCCAAAACCCAAAGATAATTAATTAATAATGATATGTATAAAACAGGAAAAAGCGGCAAATCCTGACATTTGAGCAGTAATTTCCTGTAACAATACAATACAGTGGATGAAGTGGCACCATGCCGTGTGCAAGTTTTAGAATTTAGCTGCAAATTCTGTCGTTGCCACAACATTTCCACTCAATAAAACGACTTCTATATGAAAGAATATTTTATTTGTGATTTTAAGCTGAATAGGGAACACCACTGCACTCAGTCAGCTCTAACACATGTATCAAGCCATATGCAAGCTCATACCTAACATATAATGAGAAATCCAAAACCCTGGAAAAAGCACCCCACATCCAACATGAAGACTGCAAACGGGTTACCACACACCAGTCGACCACAATTATTTTCTCATTCCTTTTTCTGTTTATGTTGAAACTCACAGAGCTGAAATTATGCCAGTTGGAAACATTGCCCATAACTAATTTTTCTATCCTCTTGGTCAAGCAGTACGAGTGTGATTAACCCACTAGAGCTGAACTGATACAGATTGTTGATAGCTTGTACTGTAACACACCCAATCTGTCAGTGAGTGATAAACAGGGGGCGTTTGAAGTTTTTTTTTCTCTTTGATTATAACATTGTATCGATAAAATTCCAAATCTAGAGGATTATGATTTAGTATAGGTGATTCCGATTGGATTTGGAAGCACTTTAGATGAGTCAGCGGCAAAGTAATCAGGCTTTGTCTGTATCTCTCAGCTTCCAGGGTATCACTGTTGAACGAAAACACGCCAAATGTTGCCGTGATTCTTCCAGTAGACTATTGCGGACCATTTTCCCTCGTTGCAGCCGCCTGCTGTTTGACAGTTTTACTCCATTTGGCTGCTACTCAAGTGTACATCTCAACATTCTATTTACCACCAACTTCATGAAGCACTGGGACCTTTTATGATCCCAGCCAAGCTGAGACACAGACCTATACACCAGCACACACACACACACACACACACACACACACACAGTCCACCTGGACGCATTTTTACCATTATCCAGTTCATGATTATCTTTTCCATTGTGGTAAACCAGTTCTGAACAGCTATATGGATACATACACACACGTATGGCTCAGATACAAACTATATGTACTGTATATATTCACACAGTGTATAAGCAGACAACTTTATGAAACACACACACGTGATCCTGGTCCCTCCTGGGTGTCTGTGACTGGGGTATAGGACAGTCTCCATACATCAGTGGAGGCTATATGAATGGAACAATTGCATGTGCGCTGGCAGCACAGACGCAGTCACATCTCATTAGCTTAACGGGATACCCGAAAGGTTCTGACAGCGTCCTGGCTGTGATTGGTGTGGCCCGGGGTGATGGGGACATACCTGTGGCTGTCATGTGTACTCTGTGGGCACGTGGTGAAGACTAAGCACACGTAGCAGCCGAGGCCTGGCAGCGACGGCAAGATTCTGGGTGTCCACACGCAGCTGCCGCCTCACCATACACGTCTTCTGCAATAATGGAACTCGCTCTCACTTTTTTGTTGTTTTTTTAATTCTTACTCTCACCGTCTCATGCCCTCTCTTACTCTCCCCTTCCCACACACACACACGCTCACATTACACAGACATGAGGGGAAACTGTGGGTGATTCTGTGTACCGCTGTGCCATGATGAGCTCAGTGCTAACTTTGAATGCTAACCAAGAATCAATTTGGAGTGGATTTGTTATTTTGAGTGTGTTCACCTGACTTCATGGTTTAAATTCAGAGAGTACTTAGTCTTTAAAGCAATAGTTTGACAGTTTGGAAAATAGCAGTCGCTTTCTTGCTGAGAGTTAGATGAGGGGGTCGATAGCACTGTAATGTTTTGTCTGGTAAATATTACCACCAGCTGCTTAGCTTAGCTTAGCTTTGGGTAGAGATGGAAAAATGAAGTAAAGAGCTAGCCTAGGTCTGTCGGAAGGTAACAAAATCCACCTTCCCGCACCTCTAAAGCTCACGAAAATTACCCGTTATATCTTGTTCATTTAATACGTACAAAAACTGTGGTGTAAAAATGACACGTGGTTTTACGGGGGGTTATGTGCCTGAGTTCTTCTAGTATACCTATTCCTTTTTTGAGCTTCATTTCTCTGTCACGTTGTCTGAAAACTGCTGTTCTTATGCTCTTAAAAATTTAGGATGTGTCATTGTCGGCACATCCATGTGTCGAGTTCAGGACAACTCACAATTCTTCAATGATGTGCTGAAAATGAGCTTTCAGGCGGCAGCGTTTTTTATTCAGTCCCCTCTATAGATGTCTCCCTGAGGGGTCTTTGGAAGAACACATGTTTTTAATAAGGGTCTTTACGTCTGGCCTTGCATAAATGTTTAGCAGCGTTCCTTCTGGGAACTGGGGCCTGTCTTTACAGCAGAGGCTAATCAGCTGTAAATTCTGTTTTAAAAAGGAAAAGGAAGGGCATGGAAGGAGTTAATCTCCAAGGCCCATTGACCCCTCTGTCTCACCCTTTATTCACTCTCTCTCTCTCCATCTCTCTCTCTCAAGCACAGATGCACATATAGTGCATAAACTCCCCCCTCCAGAGAGTTAAAGGAGGGGATGAAA